GAGAGAGAGAGAGAGAGAGAGAGAGGGGGGGGGAGGAAGAGAGAAATAGCAACTCGAAAGGAGCATTACGTAAAAGAGCACGACGACTCGACCAGCGAGAGGAATATCGGAAAGGAAGGATGGAAAACGAAGAATCTTTGACGATACTCTTAAAAGGACATTGAAAGTCGATGATGATCCGACGCGCAATCCGACGATATCTGAGATACAAATTTTGACACGCTCTGCAAAACACTATATTTCTCAGCGTTAAAAACTATAATTTCGTTTAAAGTAAATTTTCCCAAGGGAAGATCTAATCAATATACCTAAAACCGTTTTTCCGGACCTTCGCAACTGGGTCATCGGCAGTTATAAAGATGGATCCTTCTTCTAATAATCTATAACGCCTTAGCGGTTGATACAATGTTAAGTTGCCGTGGTTCAGCGATTAGAACGTTGAGCTGATGTTCTGTACGTTTGATACGAGACCCTGTTTCTTCTAGATTGACGAGAAACTGACGATTAACATAACTACCAAACAAATTCATCGACAATCATACTACATGCGTAACACAAGTGCCGTCGTTTAATGAGAACGGATAAATTTTACTCTGAATACTTATTGTGTCAATTAGTGACACACTTTGATCACGTTTTGAAACTCAAAATATTCTAATTACTTAAAAAATATATATCAAACTATATAACAAACCTCTTGATTCTTTTCAAATCAATCATTTCTTCCCAATACATCTTGCTTGAACGTGCGACCCAGTGAGAAATGACTTGTTGATCGACGTCGAACGATGTCACATCGTCATCGAAATAGATATCGACGTAGATTCGTCATCGATCGACCAGCTCATTTCTCGCTGGGGAGTAGCTTCGCCACATTTGGTCTCGATAACAGCACCGGCCAATCAGCGTCGAGCTCAGGGTGACTAGACTTCTGATGCACAGAGGCGCATCTACAAGAAGACCGTTCTCTGTTGTCAAACTTGAGTGGCGTGTACACATAACCTCTCTGCACGTTCCGTCCCTCAGCGTTCTGTTCTACAACAGAAGTGATAGTAGATATTTAGTTGAATATAAAAACGTTATTCAAGAATATGGCTGGTCTGCATTTGATACAGACCTACTCTTCCGATTCGGAAGACGGGCACGACGAGAAGAAGGAAGACGATCATAAAATTGTAAACAAGTACATGAATTATATTTATTCATTCTGGGTGTTGCAGTGTTTAATAATACGTTACTTTTTTTCTGAAAGCTCTCTTCTTGATTATAGCGAAAAACAATGCTTAGAGAGTAAGCGCGAATGTTTTTAATTTTGAATTAAGTTAGGTTAGGTTAAAGTACTCTATTTTATATAAAGGTACGCCTGGCTGATGTGATCATTAACAACTTCAAATTAATTATCTTTAATTAAAGTTACGCACAATTTTTTAAAATATTGATATTAAATAGACGTAGTGTAAGAACAAAAATAATATATATATATATATTTTTCTGTTACACGTTTCGAATAAATTTGCAGACTAGTCTTACCCGCGAGTATTTTATCGTGGAAAGGAGTTGCATACAACGAAGAAGTGATCGATGATCCACTGGATCACGACGGGCGGATACGAAGCTTTAAACATGAGCGTGGTAACTGGACGACTCTGATTTACATCAGCCGTAAGTATTTCGGTTTCGAGCGTGAGAACCTGTGATAAGTTGTACAAGATCGAGAAGTCTGCTTAATGTTCAATAATCGATATTAGGATTTATAAAAAGTGCAAGGTGATTTCAGATGCGCCCAGCGACTGCCTTCGCGCTTGGATGAGCTCGGTGTTGAACGAGCTGCCTGTCCAAGGCAACATCATATCTAGTCTTCATATTAGTCTCAGCCGTACCTTGGTCTTGAAGTTTCACTGGATCGAGTCGTTCGTCGAAGGTGTAAAGTTGTTGTGCTGCAAATTCGACAAGTTTGTCGTTCAGCTCACGGACGTAAGGGTGTACTGCAATGATGAGAAAACTCGCACGTTCCTCGGAATTTATTGTCAGGATAAAGACGGAGCGTTGAAGTGCCTAACTGAAGCGTTTGACGATTTATTAGCTGGATATCAGTTGCCGTCGTTTTACGAGGTACATGAAACCAATATTCTCTTGTCACCTTTTTAAATGCACCACACACGGTACAATATGAAGCGATAGATTTTATCGTTTGAAAGACCAGAATATTTAAATATAATACGATACATTTCTTATATGCAGGATACTTCGTATCACATCAGTTTCTTTTGGTGCCTTGGAGACGAGCGAGCCCGTTTGAAAAAACTTCTGCCGTCTCTTACTAGCAATTTAAATACATTTTTGGCAGAAAATATGGAAGACGCTTACGTGCATGTCAACGATATACACTGCAAAATAGGAAATAAATGTTACACCTTTGAACTAAAATAGCAAATTGCATTAGGCTATAAAGTCTATCTTGAGAAATTGTATTTATTATTGAAGAATAAGAAAATTAGTTACCCGAGATCGCTTCTTTTAATTCATTAAATTCACTGATCTGTAGAGCTTCAAAGATACCGTGTAAGAGATATAGATTTGTTAACAAATTGTAAAAGTATTGCTCTTGTGAATATTATATGTATAAAATATAAATTATTTTGTGTTAGAAGCATATCTACATATGTACACACTCGTACGATATTTTATAAAAATAAATTATTTCTCCGTGCACCAGAATTGTATATACAAATTAATTGCTTCGTACAAAGTCACGTTGGTTTAAAAATCGCCAAGTTATGAGGCAATTTCGTTACAATACCCGTACCTCGCCACAATTTAATCCACGCGTCACACAAGTTAGGCTCTATGCTAGCCAGTAGCGTACAAACCTTCGGATTTTGTATAACCAATCCAGCCTCTGGATTACTCGCGATATTTTTACAACCGCTAACGTCGACATAGGCTAACGTAGGCTGACGACTCAATAACATGTTTACAGATAACACAGATACATTTATGTTTCCACTAAGAATAAATTTTAACAGTCTAGGTAATTGTTTTAGGATCGTCCTTACATCAGAGTCCGTTACATCACAGAACGAAAGGTCTAGCGACTCTATGCTCGGCGACAGGGCTACGTTAATCGTGTCTAGGCTCGAGATGAAGCGGTTGGAAGACAGAACATTGGACAAGTTCAAATCGAACAGCTGCCTGCTCAGAAACGAAGACGCCGCGTCGCGATTTAATTTATTCCACGAGATATCGCAGCTTGTCAGATTAAGATTGTGGTCGAGTGGAAGGTAAAAGTCCTCGAGCGTGCAGTAACGCAAGTTAAGGGTTTGTAGGTATCGTAAGGGCGCGATTAGCTTTCGGAGGGTGTCACGGCTCTCGGAGCTCAACGGATTATAACTGAGATCTAGAACTCTTAACTGGGCAGGTAACGAGTTCACTTGGCGTAAACAGGCGAAGTCAATATCACAGCCTTTCAAGTAGAGCTCCTGCAGAGACGACAGATTCGAGAGACATTGATGCAGGTGCGCCCCCGCTGATAACAACACAGTGCCCGATAATTGTAACACCTTGACGCTCTTCTCGTATTCTAAGGTTTTTAATAACGGTACGAGTAATTGCTTATCGATATCGTCGGGTTTTACGCGAAATATCGACGTATTTTCGCAGGACTTCAAGCACTTCAGCATGACTTCGCAGGGGGTCAAATGGTGAGTAGAGCAGACCGTCTTGTATCGCTCGACAACGGACGGGACCTGCAGCTCGACTATCTCGCATTCTAACTTCTCGTTCTCCCTCGCAACATTCAGAATATTTTCCTTCGTCGCAACAGCCCCGTTTACCGGACGCAACAGCAATTTGACCGTGCAACCGGTTTCTTCGTGAAACACGCGCTCGGCGGTACTTTTAACGTACGCCAGAAACTCCGTCTCGTCCTCGCAAACTGCTACTTTCAGATTGAACACCCTCTCTTTAACAGACATACGTAAATGCACGTATTCTTTGTCGTACTGCTTCGAACTTGTTGTGGTATGCGGAGGTGATTGCGGGTGGGCCTCTGGGGACGGCGTGCGAGACACGGTGAATCCACTTGATAGCAAGGACGTCTGCCGTTTTCTCCTGCTCCTTTTGGCTCTTTCAAACAACTGGCAAACATCAGCGGCGGAATCGCTGTCTTCGCTCGTGCTAAAGTCGTCCCTACTTAGGCCCGCGTTGTACGGCTTCATTTTTTTAGCGGCGCTCTCCAGATTTCCGTCCGCATACTTTCGTTTGATTGCAGCGGTGTGACTGTTGGACGCAGACTTTTTCCTCGCTGCACTCCCGATGTCGTCCTCGAGCCAATCGTCGACGAGGACTTGCTCCTCGCTCACCAACGGCGCGACCGGCTCGTTACTGCCCTTAAACGCGCTAACGGCGTTGGTCTTATTGAAGGTACGCAAGCTCGCTATCGTTCTCTTGTAATCTTCACCGGCGGATATCCTTCGAGCCTCGAACGTCTCGGGCGACGCGGACCTCTCGACCGGGACGTCGTCGGACGATCTCTTCCTTCTCTTCTTCACTGGAATAACAGCCGAAAGCTTGTTACGCAACGTCTCGTACTCGACCAAGTCCGTAGGACTTAAATCCTCCACGCGATCTCTCCAATCTTCCAGGCAATCCAGCACCGTGTCGCCGTCGTGGGTCCTGAGCGTCACGGTCGCCCCGTGCTGCATCAGGAGCTGCATCATCGAGAAGTGGCCGCAGTACGCGGCGTCGTGCAGCGGCGTCACGCCCTTGCAGGACGCACCGCCGGGATCGTTGACGCTCGCGCCGTGCTTTAGCAGCAGCTCCGCGATGTCGACGTAGCCGTGATTCGCGGCTTCGTGAAGCGGGGACCAGCCGTAGTGATCTCGGACGTTCGTGGAATGACCGGAAGACAGGAGCCGCTCGACGGCGCCGAGATCGCCGTTGATGCACGCCACGTGCAGCTGCGTCTCGCCCTTCTCGTTCCTCTTGATCGCGGACGCAACTCTCCTTGATCTTCTCTTGGTGCCAACCGGCCTCTTGTCGACCTCCTCGACCTCCAGATCGGACAGATCCTCCAGGCAGATGTCCGCGCCAATCTCGCCGTTCTCCTCGGACGACACCTCGCTCTCCGTGTCGCTCGGCACTTCCGACGTCAATCCCGCTCTCCGCTTCGTGTCCTCCGCCTCGTCCAGCTGACCCGCGCTCCTCAGATAACTGACGAGTTCCCTAACAACGGACTTTTGTAATTTGACATTACCGCTCTCGTTTGCCGAGCTCAGCGCCAATGTGTAAGAGTCCCGAATTTCTGCGTCAGCGGCATTCGCCGTCACCAGCAGATCAGCCAGAAACAGCGCCGATCTGCATTTCTCGCGAGGACTGGCGCAGAGTTCCAGCTCCCGCCGCGCGAGAGGCAACGCCTCCTTGTACCGTCCCGCGTCCTTGAGCGTTTGAACCAGGCTCGTTAAAGAGACGCCTATTTGCTCGCCCGTCTCCTCTGCACAGGTCAGCATGTGCCGATAATATTCCACACCTTTGTCGAAGCACTGCGCGGCGACCGCCGCGTCGCCCAGGGTCTCGTACAATCTCTGCTTGGCACGGACGTTCGTCTCGACGAGGAGACTGTTCTCCGCGCGGCATATAGTTACGATAATCCTCAAATACTTCTCCACCTGGCAATTAATGTCCCTCGGCAATCCGCTACTCGTGTACAGGGAAACCAAGACCTTGCGCGTCTCAATCCACTGTCCGGTTCGCATGAACAGTTCGGCCTTCGTCACTCTCGCCTCGGCACGCAGGCGCGCGTCGCTCACGGTGGCCGCGGTGTCGATGTAACTCAACGCCAGCTCGAGATTGCCCTGGCGCTCGTATATGGCCGCCAGAGAGATGCACGTGCGATGCAGATCCTCCTGGAAGTTGTTGGACACGCACAATGCGGTCGCCTGCTCAATCAGATTGATCGCCTGCTGCGTCTCTCTCTGCGCCTCCAGCGTCAGTCCTAGATTGAGCAGCAGCCTCGCTCGCATCAACGTCTTCTCCTCCAGCTTGATCTCGGAGGCCGTCAATTTGTCGCACAGCTCCATGCTCTGCGCGTAGGCCGCCTTTGCGTTCGCCAACGCTTCGTCGCGTTTCTGTGCCTTGCCGATCAAGCTCTCGGCCAAGCAGAAGTGAGTTCTGCCCAGGGTGGCAAGCGCCCGCTGCTCCTCTATGGAGTTCCTCATGTCTCGGGCGCCTTCCAGGTGTAGATTCTGGTGCACCAGGGCCTGCTCGTATTCTCCCAGGCTTGCGTGAACCTCCCCGATCATTCTGTGCGCTATCGCGCAGCTCAGCCTGTCCCGCAGCTCCTCGCAGGCCGCCAGCTGCTCCGTGTACTCCCGCAATGCCTCCACCGGCCGTTCGTTCTCGAAGTACATGTCCCCCAGAGTGTTTGTGAGCTCGGCCAGCTGGCGAAGATTGTTGTCGCGCCTGGCATGCTGCTTCCTCTTGATGAGCTTGTCGATGTTCATTGTGACAATTGTTCTGGATACATATGAAATGTCTTATCTTTCTCGAGAGTCTGCAAAATATAAGACAGTTAATTTAACTGAAAAGATGTTACAATACCTAAGGGGCACTTTTCAGTATGGTCACCTGAAATATCGATGATGTACTCACCCCAGTTTAACCTATTGACACGCAGCAGAATCTCAAATATAAACTTAGTCGCAGGAAGTATAACACGATCTTAAGTGTGTGAATAACAAATGTATTTCAAAAGTTTCTTAGGAGGTTGCCGAATCTGTCACTCCGGTATCAGCCTCGCGCCATTTCGAGCGTTCCGAAATCCATTGGAAAACAGGCGCACTTTACTACCGCAAGAAGTAAACTCTGCGCGTTGCGCCGTGCGCGCTGGCAGTCGAAAATATGTCGTAACTATTTCTTTTTATAATTTAAAAACTATGCTTGGGAGAAAATTTAGGTAAAGGAAAAATTCTCGATTTTTTGCGATTTGAATGTGGAAATTCTCGGAAATCCAATTCTTGAAATTTTAGATAGTGCCACCTCTTTGCTGATCATGTTCTCCTGATACTTTGCCAGTTTTGCGATTTTCGATTTTCGCGATTTAAAGTTTGAAATTCTCGGAAATTCAATTCTTGGAATTTTATATAGTGCCACCTCTTTGCTGATCATGTTCTCCTGATACTTTGCCATTTTCTCGATTCTCGATTTTCGCGATTTGAATTTGGAAATTCTCGGAAATCCAATTCTTGGAATTTTAGATAGTGCACCTCTTCGCTGATCATGTTCTTCTGATACTTTGCCATTTTCGCGA